TTATTTCATTGCTTATAAATTATTTTTGTAAAGTTTGACAATGGAATTGACTTTTTTTGGGGTACACAAATCCCAACATTTGACGTTAATAAAGCATGACATTACACGTAGCGTTTGTTCTAGAACGGGAACCTGTCGTGATTGTACTTCAAAGAAATCTTCAGGTTTTCTTATAATGGGCCAAACCATTGGCCCCATGGCATTTTTGAGAGGTTACAAAGGCCAAAATATTGGCCCTATGGCACAGAACTTGTTAAGAAAATGCAGCTTTAATGTTTTTTCCCATAGGGTCAATGTTAAACTTTCGCCCTGTTTCCATGACAATGGCTTCCATTTTGGAATTTCTAAATATTGTCTGCACATCTAGGCATACCAGGTAACATTACCATAAAGTTTCATCCAGTTAGGTCTTATAATACAAATACAAATACAAATATTTTATTGGCACAAACACAATTACAATATTTTGAAAGGCCCATATTTCAGTACATTATAACAATGAATACAGCATAATGAAATAATATGTTATAATTAAGAAGCTAAAATCTCATTTCTATCTACCAGACATTTATGTATATAAGAACTTGTCACTTTCAGGACTTTTTAAAAAGAGTTGCTATTAATGCAACGTTTCATATTTAGCTGACTCTCACTACAACTTGTAGGAAGTATATTTAATATAATAGTTTTAAAGTTTATTCTGTATTTAGAAAATTTTTTGGTGGTCAATATTATAGCATAGTTCCATCAAAATTGGTACATGCAATTCTGAGAAAAAGCTTGGACAAAAAGTGTGGAAGAATAAAAATAAGAAAAAAAGAACGGAACAATAACAATATGTCACCCCAACTCCGTTGAGGGTGTCATAATAATCATTGTCACTTTCGAGACTAATTGCCGAAATGTATTTCCGGACAGGGGCCCGATTTCATACGAAAATTGTAGGTAACAATAATATCCCTTTTACATTTGCAAATTATGTCGGCTTTTGTGTAACATCGGGATACTTTGTACTGTCTTCGTGTTATTGTCCCGTATACAGGTTGTTTTATATATTTGAACAGAAAATGAATGCGTGTATATTTCAATTCGGAATAAGTTGTATCTTTATTCCTGATCTTTCGGGGTTTTTTTTTTTGTTTTGTTTTTTTTATATTTTTGCTCTTCCGACATGAAAAATATAAAATAATTCAATTAAGAAAACTAACGGCCTAATTTATAACAAAACAATTAACGAAAAAAACAAATATGACAGACATGAACCAACGACAACCATTGAACTACAGGCCCCTGACTTGGGATGGACAGGCACATAAAGAATGTGGCGGGATTAAACATGTTTGATAGCGCTCCCCAAACTTGGGACAGTGATGTAACAGCACAACATAAGAAGAAACTGTAAAAATCAGTTGAAAAAGATCTCATCAACAACTCATCAGATTGATATAAAGCAGAAAAACATGAAATGTATCTTCATCTGTATTGTTACACTGTAGATAACGAGTATTGCAGTACTGAATTTGTTGTCCAAATGATCGTAGCTAACGAGTATTGCAGTACTGAATTTGTTGTCCAAATGATCGTAGATAACAAGTATTACAGTACTGAATTTGTTGTCCAAATGATCGTAGATAACAAGTATTGCAGTACTGAATTTGTTGTCCAAATGATCGTAGATAACAAGTATTGCAGTACTGAATTTGTTGTCCAAATAATCGTAGATAACAAGTATTACAGTACTGAGTTTGTTGTCCAAATGTTTTTTTTTACTTTCGCCTTCAATATATTTTCACTTAAACATGAACAAATAACATGCATTTAAGGAATGACTGTAATATTTTTTCTGTCTATGAAGAAATAACATAAAAAATATGGTGCACACTGAATAACCCGCGTAGCGGGTTATTTAAAAGTGTGCACCACATTTTTTATGTTATTTCGAATAGACAGAAATAATATTAAAGTCATTTCTTATAATTTAATTCTAAAAAGAAGTAAATCATTATAAAAACGTTGATAACGTCTCGGTTACATGACAAAATTATGTCTATGAGCTGATAGACAAAACACATTCAGCCAATCAGAAGACGTGTTACATCCAAAATTAAATTATAAAAATATAGTGTCAAAAAATAGCAATGTCGACATGAACGTTATAATGTATACTATAATTACCCAAGGCGCAATCTATCTGGTCTTTTCCTTTTATTCACCTGTCACTGAGTATACATTGTAAAAGGGGTTTTCTAGCTGTATAAAGTATGTGCAATCATTTCGTATGTGCCATACAAATCCCACCAAAAAGACTTCGAATCGTCGATATCTGCATATTATAAAAGAGTGGCGAAAGATACCAAAAGGGATATTCAAATTCATAAGTCGAAAACAAACTGACAATACCATGGCAAAAAAAAAAACGAAAAACAACGTTAATGATAGACAACAGTACACAAAACACAACATATAAAAGTAAACATCGAACAACGCGAACCCCACAAAAAACCGGGGGTGATTTCAGGTGCTCCGGAAGGGTCCACAAATCCTACTCCACATGTGGCACCCGTCGTGTTGCTCATGCAAGTATAAACCAGGTGATAAGTCAAATTCGGTAGGTCATAATAAATTTCCAATATAAAGAGGAGGATCTGGTGATTTTCGGGGTATACATTGTGGCAATTGAATCCTTTTAAAAAGTCACTGGCTGGTTAGCTATATCTGACTCATGTTTTGTATCTTTTTTGTGAGTTTATACAGCAAAGTGCTGTGAGGTGAACATTATTGGATCTTTTCCATGTCTATGTTAATCAAACTATTGCTGTTGTACCTTCGTCTGTTATTTTTTTCTGGGGGGGAAGGTATTGTAGATTGAAACGGACTTAAATTGGCTTTTTTTTGCATTTAATTCTGTACAAAATTGAATCTGACCATTACACACGATCGGATCGTGTCTTCATGTAATCTTTATGGCGTTGATTACGATATAAAGTGTAAGATGGTATCATAACATCGACCCAGTTAATGTTTATATTGTCATTTGGCTTAGTTTCTCCTGTTACCTATCCTAACATCGGTCTCGGACTTCTTTTCAACTGAGTTTTACTGTGCGTTGTGCTGTGTGTTTATTTATTCCACATTGTCTAGAGGTACTGAGCGAGGGTTGAGATCTCCCAACACATGCTGATCCCCGCTGCATTTTTGCGCCTGTCCCAAGTCAGGAGCATCTAGCCTTTGTTTTCTTGTATGTTTTTTTAATTTTGGTTCATTTGTATGTTTCGGAGTTTAGTGTGGCGTCCATTTCGCTAAATTAATATAAAAAAAGGAGATGAGGTATGATTGCCAATGAGACAACTATACACCAAAGTTAAAATAAAGTGGATGTAAGCAATTATAGGCAACCGTACGGCCTTCAACAACGAGATAAACCATACCGTATAGTCGGCTATAAAAGGCCCCGAAATAAAAAAATATGCATCAATTCAATTGAGAAAACTAACGGCCTAATTTATAACAAAACAATTAACGAAAAACAAATATCACAGACATGAACCAACGACAACTACTGAACTACAGGCTCCTGACTTGAGACAGGCCCATAAAGAATGTGGTGGGGTTAAACATGTTTGTGAGTGCTCAACTCTCCCCCTAACCTGGGCCAGTGGTGAAACAACACAACATAAGAACAAACTATAAAAATCAGTTGAAAAAAGGCTTAACACATCAGATCGATAAAAAGTAGAATAACATCAAACATAAATACAGACCGGACGTGCATGGCAGGGTATTTCATGATCAATCCCTCATCCCTAACAACAAAAAGGACACTAAGTACAGATCTGAGAGTACTCGCAGTGACTGACAGCTAGTTCTAAGCCAATAGCAACAATTAAAAAAAAATCATATATCTAGGACTACAATATCAATCAGTACACATCCAACATCCAATGGATTTACCGGTAGTGTAAGACGTCATTAACAGTCAGAGAAAAACATGACCTTGTGCAATGCATATATATATACAAGTCATTATTGTTTAGGGGCCAGCTGAAGCCCGCCTCCGGGTGCGGATTTTTTTCGCTGAGTTGAAGACTAATAGGTGGCCTTGGGCTGTTTTCTGCTCTTTGGTCGGGTTGTTGTCTCTTTGACACATTCCCCGTTTCCATTCTCTATTTTATGATGCGATATTTTTCGTGATTGTATTGATTGAACTGGTGTTTTTGTTTTTAATCTATTATGCCGATATTAAAGAGTTATGAGCTAGCTTTTGTGTACTGATTTTTTATTGTACTTTCTTTTTTGTAAAAGGGTGATGGTTGAAATCTCAAAATCCAAGTTTAACCTGGCCACAGCCCATATATAAAAATAAGAAGATGTGGTATAATTGCCAATGAGACAACTCTCCACAAGAGACCAAATGACATAGAAGTTAACAGCTACGGTCTTCAATAATGAGCAAAGCCCATATCACATAGTCAGCTATAAAAGGCCCCGAAATGACAAATGTAAAACAATTTAAACGAAAAAAACTAACGGCCTGATTTATATACAAAATGATGAACGGAAAACAAATATGATACTAGTATACAGAAACAAACGACAACCACTGAATTACAGGACTGAATTACTGACTTGGGACAGGCACATACAGAATGTGGCGGGGTTAAACTAGTTTGACGGCACCCCCCTAACCTGGGACAGTTGTGTAACAGTACTACATAAGAACAAACTATAAAAATCAGTTGAAAAGGACTTAACTCATCAGATCGACACAAAGCAGAAATACATCTAACAAAACACATATGTTCACCACAAGAGAGGAACCTCGTTAGTGGTAAATGTTTCACGTGACAACACGAAATTATGCCTCAATATTAGAGTAAGCCTTATCACTGCTAGTATAAATAAACCATTGATTTTAGCTTCTCATTTAGAAAATGAAAATGAAATTAAAAACAGTAATAAGATAACATTTAATGAATAAAAATCGTTAAACAACACATAATTTAGCTTGTTTTCTGTCCCTTGATACACGATAAGTATCGAAAAAATCCACCAATTCTGGCAGCAAATGTGTTTTTCTTTCCGGCATTGTTGGTACTCATTTCAATGGCGTTAGTGTCTTTGTTGTCATTTTCTTTTATTTCATTCTTTTCAATGACATCGCAGCTGATTTTCTTTTCTTTGATCATTTCTGTTCCTTTCTTTGTTTTGCTTTTCTTTAAATCATTTTGTGTTTCCCCATCGAAATCGATAGTTTGATCCTTTATCTCCTTTTCGTCTTCTTTTTTCTTTGTCTCTTCCTTTGTTTTTACTGTTTCCTGAACAACATCAATAGATTGTTGTTTCTTCTTTTCGTCCTTTACATTTTCTTTTTCGATGTTCTTCATTTCTGTAAACATAAACATAAATGTTGAAATTTAATGTTTTCATATGTTTTTTTTAAACTCAGTACAATGTAGTTTTTTTTCAAGCATTCATCCGAAATTTACGTACTTATGCATTTAGTCTCAGCTTAAGAAATTGCAAATAAGACAAATTTTTCGTGAATTTTATGTGTACATGGAACTCTCAATGTCTATGAATTATGTCATGAAAAGCGTTGGCACCAGTATTACAGTGGAAATCCTAACTAGACAAGAGATTGTAATAATTCAGATCATAATTCAATGCTACTATTTTAGTTTTATTAGGGTGTAATAGAAAATTACAAGACATCGAATTTATACAAAGTGTTGACATTATAGCATTTGTGTGAAGCTCGAAATTAAAGCGCTTCATTCTTATTGTAAATTTAATCAACACTCTACCAACATGTGAAAACTTAGATTATGCATGATTACATTTCATAGATGGGAAATGTAAAATATGATGATTGAATTAAAAAACTATGTATTTCTCTGATTGATTTTTTTCTATATCATTGGTACGTGCTTGTTGAAGCCATAAAAGACTATTCGTCCGATCAATGGCGTCCATCTAAATTCGTTCGTAAAATACAATGTATTAAGAAAAAGACTGTAGAACGTAGAAATAAATACCTTTTTCCAACATCCTTTGTGCTTTTTTCTCCATCTTTTTCATCTCTTTTCTCCTCTTTTCTTCCTTCTTCCATTTTAATTTGACATCCTTTGTGTAATTTTTTATACTCTTGTCGATTGCTTTGTATTGTCTTTGTACAATCTTTTCCTCTTCTTTGGCTTTTTTCTCTCGTATTTTCTCTTCTTTTATCATTTCTCTTTTCTTCTTCTTTTCATCCTTTTCCGTTTCTTTGTCATAAATTGATCCGTTAAGTTCAGAATTCTGGACTTGATCCTTTAATAATCATATAAAAAATGTTAATGTAATGCTTTTGTGGGTGTTGTCTTCAATGCAATGAGGTTATCTCTCTGTCCCATTTAAAAACGATCTTGATTTCCGTCAAACCATAAAAGGACACACCAGCAAGTGGGCGAACACAAATGAACCTCATAATAGGGCTAGATGGAACAACACTTACTTTTAACTTATAGAAAATGTATAGTAACTTTGAATTTCAAACATTTTTTTTGGCCGATGTAAGGGACTCTGAACTTCCACCGTTTATTCATTCAGTTGGTTTTTTTTTTTATGTCGCCCACGTACGAAAAATGATATGATAGACAAGTCAACCTATGCTCTTTCTGTTTAACTTTACCCGGATCAAAAGGAGAATATACTAAACCAAATGAAAATTTGATAGTTTCGAGTTTTTATTATGATAAGAGGATCTTAGAAACGGTTTGGTCTTGTTGTCCGGAAATGTTCATTGGCCTATTGCTAAGAGCAGCTCACTACACATATGAAGAACAGCAATGCAGGCACTGTTCCACTGATAGTATAACATGGGATTATTATTAATGTTGACATCTACCCCATACTAATTTTCCCAAAAACCCTTTTGTACCTTATTGACCTGTCCGATCGCATTCTTCAGTGGGTTTTCTGCAATTCTCTGCTCGTGGATCTTTGTTATTGTCAATTCTAGGAATACAAAAAATAGATATTCTTATTACTCACTTCATCCTGGGACAATAGATGTAGTAGTGAAACTATCTTAAGAATTATAAATATAAACTTTAATCTGAGAGAATATGATGTATTTATACGTTGTAATCATTGTCTGTGAACTAGCTTTCAGTATGTAACTACAATTACTCTTAGGTCGGTACTTTCGTCTATTGTGCCTCATACCGATCTGATGAGTCAAGCAATTTCCACCTATTTTATTTAGTTTGTTCTTATGTTGTGCTGTTACATCACTGTCCAAGTGTTCACAAAATGTTTTACTTTGCCACATTCTTTATGTGCTCGTTCCATGTTACGAGCCTCTAATTCAGTGGTTGTCGTTGTTTGCTGTCTGTTCATGATTTTGATCATTCGTTTATTGTTATGTCATAACTCATGTCGTTCTCAAGTGTGAATTATTCCACATTTTGTCATGTTGTGGCATTCTAAATCTGACTGTATGGTTAGACTGATAAATATGTCTCAAATCTGGTCGATATTGAGCGTAGGTATCAAGACAGGGGACAGCATTCGTCAGTCTAAATGCACGGTTTAAATTCTGCTGCAAGGTTCTTACGGTGACTTATAGTAAATTACATCAACGTCATTTGAACTATGGATGGTTGTATCATTGGCAACCATACCACATCCCCTTATTTCTATATTAAGGTTTAATCAGAAAATTTGTCATTACATTTATCACTGAAGAAAATTTGATAAACTTTCATAACGGTAATAATGATAATTCGACAAAATTATAAAAGAAATATTACAATTACCCTTTCTTTGCTTTGCTGATATATCCACATCTTTTTCTGATTTCTTCTCTTCTTTTTCTACTCCTTCTGTTAAATAAATCAAATACATTGTCAAATTAAGAAAATCTGCCGTTTTATACATTTTGCATAATCAAATGTAAAATTGTAAAAGAAAAGATGAAGATGGTACATGCAATTTGTAAATTGTAACAACAACATAATCAGTTAAATAGTTCAAATTCTACGCTCTTGTTTGATGATCGCAAGCTAGATTTATTCTCGAATATGAGTGACAATATTTAACGCCTTTGTTTTAAAGTTAGAAGTGTAAGCATGGACTGGAGACTGAATCTCTCTCTCTCTCTCTCTCTCTCTCTCTCTCTCTCTCTCTCTCTCTCTCATTACTGACATACCTAATTCCCTTTCCCAAGCTGCTACCTTTGCCTCAGCCGCCTCAGCTATGTCCTGTATGTCTTCAAGCGAACACTCAAATACAGCTTCCATCAAAATAGCCTCGCAAAACTCAGAGACGGCCTGGCATTCCTTTTCTTCTATATCTGACCTTTCCATTTTATCCTGTTAAATTTTGAATCAACTATAAATTCTAAATACATCATGAAATCATTTGTTCATCCCTCTCCCATTTTTTTAAATCGAAATCTGCTGGATTAATAAAACATTCATTGTTTTGCATGAAAATATGTATTTTCAATTTCTCTTTTAGAATGGTTTAAATCATTGCACCGTTTATACAATCATGATTAAAGGAAATTCCATTTACCGTATAGTGATCGCTTCTGTTTTTGGTCTTTTCGGTTTTTCTTTCAATATGTTGTATTTTCTAAATTTTTGCCTGTAGTATTAACGCCATTAATTTGGAATCAAATTTTGCTTAATTAGCGTTTTCAATAAGTCCCGGTCAAAATGAAGAATGAATTTAACTTAAAATTTAATGACCAACAGTAACAAAAATACACATAGTTATTGTTGAGACAAACTGAAATTTTCATCAACACTTTAGATTTCCTTTACAAGAACGACAAAGAGACATCGATCAAACTTAAAAATTTACGTTTGCGTGTAAACGTAGTTACATATTACATACGCAAGAGTCAAAATTGCCTGAAATGCGTATTTGTTATTCAACAACGGGATAAAAAGCACATTAATTGAAAAAGTGAAATAACATTACTCACCAGACTTATCTTTCACTTTTTTTAATCTTTCAAAACGCTGAAGAGAAATAATTTCTAGACTTCTAAAAACTTCCTCTGCTGCTATGTATTGGCGATACTTCGACAATAACGTTGGCATTGGAAATGTTTATGACGTCAGTATGGTGTCAGCGCAATCACAAAGTTTTCTCCGATTCTCTGTTATCTTCGTTTTTTCTGTGAGATGACTGCCAATACGTTGCTATGTGTTTGCCAATAGGTTGGTTCCAGTGTTTGTTAATTAATTGTGTTTCTGAATAAATTGTTAGCCGTGTTTGTTAATCTTTTGTGTTTGTTAATGAGTTGTCACCAGTGTTCTAAAGTCTGAAAAGTGCCAACAGTGTTATATGTATTTTCATCATTGTTGAAGGCCGTACGGTGGCCTATAATTGCCACTTTATTTTAACTCTGGTGAATAATTGTTATACTAACATCTACTCATTTTTATATATCAATCAAGTGGTTTTATAAGTATTTATAAGTGTTTGTCTATACGTTGTTACAAGTGTTTTTCAATAAAATTATTACAAGTGTAACCCAATAAATTGTTACCAGTGTTTTTCAATAAATTATTACAAGTGTTACCCAATAAATTGTTACAAGTGTTTGTCAATTAATTGCTAAAAGTGTTTGCTAGTCCGATGTTACAGGTGTTTTCCAGAACCATTTTACCAGTGTTATTCAATAAGTTGTTACCAGTGTTTTTCAGTAAGTTGACAATTATGTTATTCAATAAGTTGTTACCCGTGTTTGTCAGTAAGTTGACAATTATGTTATTCAATAAGTTGTTACCCGTGTTTATCAGTAAGTTGACAATTATGTTATTCAATAAGTTGTTATTAGTGTGAGTCATTAAGTTGTTACCAGCGTTTGTCAATAAGTTATTACCAGTGTTTGTCAATAGGTTATTACCAGTGTTTGTCAATAAGTTGTAACCCATGTTTGTCAATTATCTGTCACCCAAATTTGGCAATAAGTCGTTATCAGTGTTTGTCAATTAGTTGTTACAAATGTGTGTCAATACGTTAATACTAGGGTTTGCCAATAAGTTGTACTAGGATTTGTCAATAAGTTGTTACTAGTGTTAGTCAAGAAATTGTTACCAGTGTATGTCAATAAGTTGATACCATTGTGTGTCAATTACTTATTACCTAGATTTGTCAATAAGTTGTTACCAATATGTATCAATAAGTTATTACCAGAATTTGTCAAAATTTGGTACCAGTGTTTTTCATAAGTTGTTACTAGTATTTGGCAATATTTAAGTACCCTTATTTGTCTTTACGTTGTTACCTGTGTTTGTCTGTAAGTTGGTTCAGGTATAAGAATAAGAAGATGTGGTATGAATACTATGTAATTGGAGAACATTCCGCCATAGACCAAAGGACATTGATATGAGCAACTTAAAGCCATCCTACGGTCTTCAACAATGAGCATAATCCATACCGCATCATAGATTGTAATAGACCTCGACATGACATCATGTGAAACAATACAAACCAGAAAAGCAACAGCCTTATTAACACTAAAAAAAATAAACGAAAAACGAATACGGCAGACAGCAACCTACAACAACAACTGAACAACAAGTTCCTAACTTGATACAGGCAAATATAAACATGGTGAGGTTGAACATATTTGTCAGCCCTCAACTACCCCCACTCCAACCTTGGAAAGTTGTTTAACAGCACAATAAGAATGAACTGAAAACATCAGTTGGAAAGGACTTAACACATCAGATCGGCATGAAGCACACATAAAAAACTTATAAAAGAAAAAAAAAACACACAAAGTACCGAAATAAGAGTATTCTCGCCATTACTAAATGCTAGTTCAAATCTCAATTAAAGCCATGAGATAAACCAGATTTCCAGACTAAATTTACCAATTGACTAGGATTGTCAGTTTTCCTACCGAAGGACAATAGACTAAATTTCAAATTTAAAACTAAAATACGATATAAAAGATTTAATGAATAAAACAGTTCATCAACAAACAGCTTGGCTTTCTCTCTGTCCATTGATACACGAACAGGAGCGGAAGAATGCAACAAAACTTGCAGCAAACGTGTTTTTCTTCCCAGCATTGTTGGTGTCTATTGCGTCTTTTTTGTCATTTTCTTTTCTTTCGTTCTTTTCAATGACATCGCAACTGATTTCATTTTCTTGGATTGTCTCTGTCTCTTTCTTTGTTTCGCTTTTCTTTAAGTCATTTTGTTTTTCATCTTCGATCTTCGTCTGTCTCTTCCTTTGTTTCGACTGTTTTGAAACCATTTTGTTTTTCCTGAACAACATCAATAGCTTGGACGTGTTTCTTCTTTTCGTCCTTTGCACTTTCTTTCTCGATCGTCTTCATTTCTGTAAACATAAACATAAATGTCGAAATTCAATATTTTCATTAAAGTTTTTAAACTCGGTACAATGTTGTTTGCTTTTTTTTTTTGGCATGCGCATGCTCATCCTAGATTTACATATTTGTGCATTTAGTCTCAGCTTTTTGTTCTCTTTTTACTGAAATTTCAAGTTATCTCAAATCAATTGCAAATAAGACAATTTTTTTCGTGAATTTTATATGTACAAGGAACTTTGAATTAGTCAACAACTGTCTATAACTTATATCATGAAAAGCGTCAGCACCGAGACAAGAGATTGTACAGTTAACAATTGAATGCATCTATTTCTATTTTTATTAGGGTGTAATTGAAAATTACAAGATGTTGAATTTATACAAAGTGTTGAGCTTCGGCGTCCATCTAAATTCGTTAGAAAAGGAGAAGACTGAAGAAAGTGGAAATCTAAATGAAATAAATACCTTTTTCCAACATCTTTTGTGCTTTTTTCTCCATCTTTTTCATCTGCTTTCTCCTCTTTTCTTCCTTCTTCCAATTGGATTTGATATCCTTTGTGTACTTTTTTATACTCTTGTCGATTGCTTTGTATTGTCTTTGAACAATCTTTTCCTCTTCTTTGGCTTTTCTCTCTCGCATTTTTTCCGCTTT